AAGATAATGAATGATAATATAGATGAAGAATAAAAGACCGAGGGTGAATTAAGGCATCTAATTAATTGTCCATGCTTGGCAAAACCATGCAGTCCTATAGGACTATTATAGTTGAATGGCTACTTGCCCCCCCCCCCCCCGCTTATTCAGCGGCTGGCTGTGTCGTTGTGAAATTTTCCGCGCGATTTTCAAATTTTAACCCCCCCCCCCCCTCGAAAAAAAATCCTGCGTACGCCCCTGATATTGGCAGTACAAAAAGAATAACTGACAAGGTCATACATCTTACATACCGTGTGAAATTTGGAGTGGATAAAACATGATTGTAATTTCCTACCCCTTAAACCCATTTTTAAAGAAAATTAATTGGACTGTTTCCATAAGATCATCCCCAGCGTGCCCTACTTCGCTCAGCTTGGTCGACCTTCGTCTATACATACGCACCAACAGACAAACAATCATTCACTCGAATGGCGAAAATGGGAATATGTTATCAGTATGTCCAAATGATAAACGAATGTACCTGCGCTTCTGATATCTACCTCGGATCTCAAACCACACTGCAGACCCCCCCCCCCCCGATTCTTGGAGGCTTTTTTTCCTCTCAGGGGGCGATTTCCCCTCCCCCTCCCCCCCCCCCCCCCCCCCCCCCCCCCCCCCACTATGGCTCGAATGGCCCATTGGCCAATTGTGGATACAGTCTCTTGTCTAGCTTGGGAGGGGGAGAGGCATCAGTCTGGAAAAAAATCCCTAACTACGAAAAAAATGGAGAAGAAAAGACCCCTGATATAAGTACTTTTAACTTGGTTGATAAGGTTTTTTCCTCAATTCCCCCCCCCCCCCCGAAACATAACCAGCCGCCCGATTAACATGCCTGAATATGATTTTAAAAACTACTAAAATATAAATGATTTGTTGATCCAACCTTTAGGGCAAAATCTGGAAGTTATTGGATAGATGAATTAGTTATGTATAACTGTAAAGACAGACATTACATTCAATGACTGCAGATCAATGTAGATTTTGTATTTCTTTATTTTCCCATCATTCATTCATCCAATGTTTACTGAAAACTATGATTGCAAACTGTGACCTCAATGAAAATACCGATAGGCTATCCCGAAGAAATCGTATTCTGATTACTTTTATGATGTCTAAGTATTTGAAATTGATCATTTTCGAAAGTCTTTCCGATCCTATTATTTTGTTGATATCCAGCATCGATGAAAGGAGGAGGGGCTAGATCATTCCGTCTAAATTTGTCCCCCCCTCCCCCCTCCCGAAAAAAGGGCATCACGAGGCTTTTCTGAACCGAAATATTTTCCACAAGCCAAGGTAGATCCTCAGTCTTTATGTTTGTCGATATATAGGTTTCTATTTTATCAATATTTTGCCAAAAAGGAACGACCGCAAAGTTCAATCAAGTTTTGCGATAATGTCGACAAGGCTACGAAACTAAATCCCAAATTTGTCTAGCTTTGCAGACAGACAAGTTTGGGTTAAGTAAGACAGTCACATACCCGCGATCTACCATAGTACAGTGCACAGCATTACATCAAAAATCAGGTCAATTAAACGAAATAATAATGATTAAAGAAATTATTACAAATGCAGTATTCATTAAAAATTGTATCAATATTATGTTTCAGGAAAATCAGCGATTGACTAACACGAAACTGTTGAACATGCATAATTAAATGATAAGAAGATGAGACAAGAAAATACAAATCTATTACCTTGTTACATCTGCCGTATGGACTCACTCCACCAACTATAAATAAAGGCGACTGGTTTATTTGACCGGAGAGTCACTGATAAAATGAGAACTAATCAATGAATACAAGAAGGAAACAACATCTTGCTTCTCAGCTAACTAGGATTTCATTCTCACCCCCCCCCCCCCCCTCTCTCTCTCTCCCTCTCACTCTCTGTCTGTCTGTCTCTCTCTCTCTCTCTCTCTCTCCTCACACACCCTCCCATTTTCTCTCTCTCTCTCTCTCTCTCTCTCTCTCACATACATCCCTCTCTCTGTCTCTCTTTTATATTTCTCCCCTCTCTGTCTCTCTCTCTCTCTCTGTGTCTCTCTATCTCTCTCTATGTCTCTCTCTCCTCATTGTATGGCTTCAGCAAACGTCTTTAACATAAATTATCTCTCGCTAAATTCTCAGCCATGCATGACTTCTCGGGAGTTCTATTTGCCCATTGTGACATACATTATTATAAAGTGCTTATCTACACACAAAAAAAGGTTTACCCAACTTTGGTAGCTTCAAATTGAATAATAACCTCTGAATTTGAACTATATGTCATCGTATGGATAACTTATACCCTGTCTAATGATACCATATTCATAATTGTGCGGCCATGCACGGATGACTGAGCAGGAGGCTTTTCAAAAAGTTACTTTTGTCAAAATTCGCTGGCACCAAGTTTGAGGTGAAGCAATAGATATGGATCAAAAGCCATTAAAATTGAATATAGTTATAACATAACATTATGTCATCGTAAAGGGTAACTATAATAGCCTGTCCAATGTACTCGTAATTGTGCGGCCATGGACGGATGACAGAGCAGCAGACTTTTCAAAAAGTCTTGTCAAAATCCTCTTGTACCGTGTTTGAAAACCGTGATTCTAGGGTGAAAAAGTGTCGATTGAACGCACTGAAGCAATACATATGGGGTCGAAAGCATTTATGACTGTGTGTATCATCGCATTCCAAAAAGAAATGCTCACGTATTTACATTGGCTACAGGCGCGTACGCAGGGGGGGGGGGTTAACCCCCCCCCCCCCTTTGGTAATTTTATGTATGTAAACCCCCCCCCCTAAAAAAACCTAACCCCCCCCCCCCTTTTGTTTTTGTTATTTTTTTTTATTTCGAGGGGGGGAACAAAAAAAACAAAAAAGTGTCCTCTTACCCCCCGCCCCCCCCCCCCGGCTTATTCAGCGGCTGGCTGAGTGGTTGCGAAATTTTCGGACCGATTTATAAATGTTAAACCCCCCCCCCCCCCCCCCTTGAAAAAAATCCTGCGTACGCGCCTGATTGGCTATATCAGGTACTTGAAAAGAAATCTTGACTTCATTCGCATGGCTTCGCATTTAGTAATGGGAAATACAGTTCATTTGGGATTTATTTGATACTTATCATCATATAAAAATGATGTTCCTTCTTGCATTTGGGTTTAGTAACCTTTGAGTTTTCATTCACTATTCGAGATATTATTAAACAAACACCTAATACATTATTCTCCTTACGCGTCTGAAATGGCGCAGCAGACAAGTGAGCAGAGAGAACTTATAGATATCATGAGACAAGAGGTTCGTAGGCTCTTCAAAATAATTGAAGATTATCCTATGGATTGAAACAAGGTTCTGAGAAAGCCTAGATACATTGCATCATTTTAAACTATGAAGCACTGAAATACGAGGCGTAATTAAACTTTTAAAACGATTTAAGACCCAAGAGCCTCATACCCACATTCGTTCCATTAACCCAGGTGATTTTAACAACACTCTTTAAAGACCATGGCGCTCAGTCACCCGTGGCAGAAATGTTATGAAAAGGGTATCATGGGACAGAAAACAAGTTTTTCTTCATCATGAAATAGATATCATAGTCGTATTGGTTATGATTTTTTAATAAGGAGCTACGAAGTTGGGTACAGCTTTTGTACACACGCACTGTAAAACATCATCACCGATTGTGATTGTATTACTTCGCTATACCGAACTCTACTACATCTCCACAACACTATAGGGGTATGTAATTCTACCATGTGTGTACTATATCAGATATTGGTTCATTCAATTGACTCGGAAGCCAAGGGTTGGGGTTCAAATCCCATCTCGGTACTATGTTCTTCTGTCTGTACATTAACCCACATTTTCCACTCTCCATCTGCGTGTAAATATGTACATGGAAATTGCTGGAGAAATAAAATGCTTGCATGCAGTGCCCGCAAGTAAAACAGCATTGATGCTGATGTAGCTACACTGTCTTGGTAATATCATCACAATCATTTAAGAGGTACGAAAATGTATACCAACTTTACGGGCATCATTGTATTTTTGTGTTTTTGTTAAATGAAATAAGAAGAATAAGCTTACCTCATACGCCCGTTTACTCCGATAATAATTTGCCCTGCTCAAGAACCTTATACTTTATAGCCATGTAAACAAGTGTATCATGTTCTGCAGAGCAGTGTCTGTTAAGTTAACGACTTCGCTTCCAATGTGTTTTCTTCCTGCGTGTGTAACTACTAACAGGTAGTATTACAATTATTTCCTTTAGTTGTGGATAATGATATTGTTCCGGTAAGAATCCGGCGAAAATAAGGCGAAAAGAGCCTTGAACCTCATGAACTTTACATTAATGTTTCTTTTTTTCTCTAGACTTTTGATAGTGACCATCCTACTTTAGTAATACAGAAGTATGTACACCTCTATCTGACATTGTGATGTACATAAGGAAGGTACCTCTTGTTTCATTAATTCATTTTATTTTATTTATTTGGTCGGGGACCCCACACTCTTATTTCCACAGCGTCAAATTTCACTCTAACTGGCGTCAGCTGGGAGTCAACTCTATTCCTAGTTAAAATGACAAGGAAAAGGAGTCAACTTGACTCTGAATTGAGTCAATTCTCAGCTGATGCCACACAATCCGAGTCAAATTGATTCGGAATCCGTGTCACTTTAACTAGGAATAGAGTTGACTCCCAGCTGACGCCATTTAGAGTGAAATTTGACGCCGTGGAAATAAGAGTGCACTGGAAATAAGCTCTCGAGCTTTCGTGGGTTATCCTGTTCAGGCTGACTTAAATTTGATCTGTTATTATTTTATATTGTTGTGTGTTGGAGGCTTTGCGAATAAAATCAATCAATCAATCAATCAATTTAATATAAACCACTCCTTGTTGAAATCATGCATTCTGAGATCCAGACGTACTAAAATGTTAACATTTTCGTCAAAAGGTGGCGCTCTTATTACTTTTATTTTTCCTGGATATTGCGCAACTGTAAGCAATGGGTGTCTGCTTGTCATTAGCTAAATATAGATTGTTATTGGTATTTATTGTCGAGTTGCTGCTGGGGATGGCATTCATAGAAGAGAGACAGTCAGTTACCTCATTCAGGTTTTATCTAGGTGAGTTACTTCCTAATACTTATTTTCTCAATATAATTCATGAAAATTAGGTGGAAACGTGAGTGAGAGAGCGTGTGCTACGAGCTACGCTACTAGGCCTACATGAATGCCCGACTACCTTGTAACGTCATGGGGCTCTGCAACGCCAACGAGAGCGCGCTGCAGTGGAGCCCGGCGCACAGTGGGCCAGGGAGGAACCAAAGTGGGCCAAAACTAAGTTTGGGTGATTTTTTTTTTTCAATTTTTTTCTTGCCCAGTTGAAAGGTAATACATAGAGGAATACCTCAGTGAAATATTTAATTCCGGTATGCACAGTAAGGGTATAAATTTACTACTTCAAACAGCAAAAGCCTACATATTCGCAGTTTTAGTGCAAAAGTGACTTAGTCTAGACCTATTTTATAAATCTTTCAATTCAACATGGGAGTTTTTAAGTTATTGATATGAAATTGCTCTCACATATTCCTGATAGTTCATTTCGTTGAATGAATGGGTTAAAGTTAATAGAAACACAATCTTCATGATATCTTATAGGGTAATTCACTGAAAAATGGACTAATTATCCATGTTTTTTATAAATCCAGAAGGAATGTTTAGATCTCCGCGGTGTACCGCTTAAATTTTAATACCACCATTTTCTCTGATGTCTAAGCTTCAAGTTGATACCAAATTTGGCTGCCAGAACTTTACTTGCCCGTTGTTGTGTTAGAGCCGATTTCCCTTGCCACATTGCCCCAAAAAATGTGGGGCAGAATCGGGAAGCCAAATCTGGTATCAGCTTAAAGCTTAGACATCAGAGAAAATGTTAGTAGTAACATTTAAGCGAAAATCCCTGGAAATCCAAACATTTCCTCTGGATTTATAAAAAATAAATCCCCAAACATGAGTTTTGGCGCACTTTGGTTCCTCCCTGGCCCACTGTGCGGCGGGTGGCGGGGCTCAATCACGGAACGCATCGTCCAAGTCCGGCGCAGACATCCGCCGTCGACTATTGAGTTGTACTAATTCTGACAGCTCTCCATCTCCAGCTCCAGAATAAAAAGCTCAAAAAAATCTGAAAACAAATAGCCCCTTACAGTGTACATGTTGGATGATTCAATATTTCTGTGAACAGGTGGTGAAGTTCTGTCCAATTTTATTCTTGACTCGATCAGTTTGGAAGTTTGGAAAGGAATTCTATGGCAAACGCTCCCTTATATTTCTTGCTTGGTATTCGCAATTTCATACCATTTTACCAAACGTCAATTGTAAGGAGTCTTCACATTGTCACTGCATCAAAATATATATGAATAGTTTATGCAATTGACGAGAGATACAAAGGTCATGGATTTGATCCTAGGCATAGCACTAGCAGAGCCGGGGTATAATAGTTGGAGCGCCTTGAGCACGCATGCATGGTGGATATGTGCACTGTATAAATAACCAAGAATAAGATAATATTATGATGATCCTTAGGTAAAGACCAGTTTTGGAAACGCCCCCCTCTCGAAAAATGAAATGGAAGCTCTTATTACCAATCATGTGAAAGAATATGTTTTGACTAATACGTGATCATACAAATTTTGCTGAGAAACCGCCTACTAATTGATATATTTGGTAAATTATTATATCTATTTGGACCTGATGGATATAACGCACATGTTGCGCACGTGTGGGGGTAGTCCCATATACATCTTTCTGTGTACAGTGCTTGCAACTTTATCAAGACTGGGCCACATTTCTTATCATTTTGATTATTTCAGAACCTTGCAGTACACACCAATAGCTATATGCTAGATGATCAACCTTTTCTGATCGATTCCACAACGTTTCTTTCACAATGCAATCGCATGATCATAACTAGTCTTTATCTTTAAGCAATACATTTCGTCTATATTGCTTCCCTCCACCAGGCCAAGGGATAAATGCATACCTGATCAAATGTGAAAGTTACTGTGGTTTGTTCAGCATTATGACTACTTCTAAATAGTCACCTAATGCTTTCTAGGAGGCGAGCAAGCTTGAATATGATGACAGGGGTTATAATATATCTGTAAACTGCTAAGAGACTTGAAACATGTTATTAGGTGCTAAATTAATCCAAAACATTATCATTGTCATTTTTCTTTCCTTATTTTCTAGGTTTTTGATTAGCTAGACGGAGATCATGGCAGGGGTCGAGAGCAGTGAGGAATCTTTGTCCGATGATATACAGGGAGAGTTAGAAGTCTTGAGGTCAATCTACCAAGGGGATGGAGAGTTCAGCATCGAGACATCTGGTTGCCATGACAATGACCTGAAGTCAAACTATGTTTGTGAGGTCATCATTAAACCTGTTGACATGCCACTAGGACTGAGCTTCTCTTTACCAGGTATGTACAGATCATGGAAAGACTTATGGGCATTTCAATTCAATATTTTCAATCTAAAAGATAAAGGGTGAATTATGCATGAATGTGTCGATTAAACTAACCATAATGAATGTAATTGGTAGTTCAAGCAAACTGATTATCTTAATAGTTTGTTTCTTTTTGTATTTATTTGTTGCCTGTGTCCACTTGGCAAATACTTACATATTTAGACAAGAATTGCAAAATGATCTCCATTTTTTAAAATTATTTTTTAAAGGAAAGAAATCACCCCCTTTTTTAAAGAAGTAAGTCTGCAGTACCGGTAGTTCTCAAGGAAAATTAGTTGAAAGACATTACCATGGTCTTGAATGATTTGCATATACAACACATGTGGTTTGATTGATCTGTCATTTGTGTTTTGACAATAAAATATTACATGTATATGCATCAATTGAATTTACACACATACACAAAGTAATTTTCTGATCCTTTCTGATTGTTTCCTTCAATCTAGCATCTTACCCAAGAATCAACCCTCGGATAGAGATGGTCTCCCTGCCTGACACCATGTCACAGGACAACATCGCTGTCCTCCTTGTTTGTCTCTATCAGATAGCCAAGGAGAATGCTGGGACACCTCATCTATACTCAGTGGTAGAGGGCGCCAAACAGTGGATTAGGGATCACCTTGAAGGCTCTCACCGAGACGAGTCATCTTCAAGTAGTTCAGGTGAGGAAAATAGCTCTTATAAATGATTCGGTAAGATTGAAATTAATAGTATTTCAAAGTTTTACTATTCATGTTCTAGCAATTATTGCTCTGCATGAATTACCTGTGTACACTGACCAACCTCCTAATTTCAGGCCCAGAGCTAACACTTTATTTAATACTAATCCTATTTCCAACCCTAATCTCAACATATATCTTTGTTGAAATAGAGCCTAGCAAATGTTAGATCAGATCAAAAGAATTATAAAGATAACACCTTGTTGATCTCCTTTGGTTATCCTGTAACAGGAATGAACTTTTTGACTACGACTACGACTACTCCAACTTGGACAAGCCTATACAACCATTTGGTGAAAGACTATATTGTCGTCATTGTACAATAAAACCAAAAATTCCACATCAGCCAACAGTAATATATCAAATGGTTTAGTTGAAACTTTGTGAGAAGGAATGTATTTTATATCTATATAAGTAATTACTAAGAGAATTCAAGGCATAGAGATAGATATAAAATCTTGCAAATCTTTGAAGAAAGCATTATATGTTTGCTTGATTACAGAGAGTGATTGGTCCAGCATAGCAGGTACTGATGCTGAGAGTAAGAGGAAGAAGAAAGAATCAAAGAAGAACAAGGGTAAGAAACAGGACGAGACTCCTCAGTTTGGGCGAGACACCAAGAAACCTCCAATGAAAACCGCTACTGATGTCATCAAGCGAATCCAGTGGGACAAACAGCTCAACCCCGAGCACTTCATCGTCGGTTACTTGGATCGATTCATTGGGGTCGTGGAGCAACCGTTTCAGGCGTTCTATTGGGGAGACATTGCAGAGGTGGACCACCTAACCCTAGCTATCCCCAAGCATCGCATCCAGTACTTTAAGTACAAGGACGAGGTGGTATGGGATAAGAGGGTGAGACTGGACAATGTGTTTGGATCGTTAGGGAGTGGACTCACCGTGGTGGAGGTGGTGGAGAGGTATGCCAAGGAGAATGATACGGAGCAGAATGGTAGGAGCGAGAAGGAGGTGAACGAGATGGGGGGCGAGGGAATGGACGATGAGGGGGTTGGGATGGTGGTTGATGATGGGAAGGTAGTGAGAAGGAGAATAGACAGGTCACGGCCAAACTATTTCATCGGGATTCAGATTACCAGCGAGGATATCAAGACTCACGTCAAAGAGATCCAGAGTCACATGACCAATATAGATCCTCTGGCTTCAACGTATCTCACCTCTCTCTCCCATCTTCATGTTACTTTGTGTATGCTCCAACTCGCCACAAAGGCACAGATCAACACCGCCCTCTCTGTTCTGAAAACCATCCAACCTGAACTGGCATCGATGCTTCTCCCTGTCACTATGATGAGGTTCCATGGAGTCGACACGTTCCATGACCGGATCATTTACTCTCCGCCCGAGGCTGATCGCGCTCTTGAGAAAATGACACGTTTTTTGCGGACATCGCTTACCAAAGCTGGCATCAGCCTGACGGGGACTCGAGATGAGTTTGTTCCCCATCTCACTATCATGAAAATGCCCCGGGATGAAGCAAATGGACATCCCATTTTTACCTCGGACTTGAAATCTAAGTTTTCAGAGATGCATTTAGGAACTCAAGTTGTTGATGCTATCCATTTATGTTCCATTGAAGATAAACCAGCCCATGATGAATTTTACAATTCATTAGCTAGAGTTGATTTAAATGAATAGATGAATAAGGTTATAAAGTAATTTATGCAATACAACAAAGCAAACGTCATTTACAAAATCGATCTAAGACCAAATTCTATCCTTTTTTTTTAAATGAAGTATTCAGGCAAAGGGTATCTTGCACTGAAATACAATTATTAATCTCAATAGAGCATGCGTGTGTCTTTTATCTTAAATGTGAAATAGGTGATTTAAAACGAGAACTAGGTAACTAACCATTGCATAGAAATGATCCTTAATTTTTTTTTTTAACCTGTTGATTACTAAATCTGAAGTAACTCAGGATGAAGTCTATAGAATGTGAAATGAATTACTACAATCAAATTATATCTTATGAGTTGATTGTAATTTGTAAGAATATAATATTGAACCCCATCTTGTTCTTTATTTGTGGGATTATAAGAGATGGTGTATGTAGGGTGAGAAACCCTTTCAAAACATTTATTTAATTGTTGTTGTTAATACTCATTTTTAATTTTACCCTTCAGAAAATTTTAAGATATGAAGATTTCATTCCCTTGTCTTGCAAATTTAATTCCAAAGTGGGATGTTTTTATTTTTAAATAATTTTTAAACTTTCTTAAATCTGTAAGCCAATTTTTTGGGGGTCTGGCAAATTCCATGCTTATTTGTTAGCAAATTTTATTCCAACATCCTCCTCACTATTTGAATTGTCTTTAGATGTGTAGGCATATCACTTTCTCTATATTGTAGTTTAATAGGAGTTATGAAAATAGTGTTATTGTACATGTGGCAGTATTTAAACTACAGAAATGTATATGTGTATTTCATGAAATTCAATCTCCTCTTTATTTGGGAATGGAGTAGGACTAGGGGTATTACCTCCTTTCCCAAATGCTAGTACTTATCAGCAAATTTAGAGATCTCAGGACCTTGTCCATATTGCGCCCCTGATATTCACCTGAAATCATTACAAACTGATGCCAAGATATCTTGTTTACATTATGTCCATTGCTATACAGCTGTTTAGAGCGTGGTTAAGTATTTGATTCAACACTGTACATATTCTTTAATTTGAACTTGATCTGCAAGTAAATATATTTTTGTACACCAGAGGTGGTATGGGGCTAAAATTTAGCACAGGACGGTGCCCTACTGTTCCCACTTATCAAGTCTTTTAAAATGTTTATCGTTGTTTTAAGCAAGAATGCGAAGGATGTGCAATTCAATCAGTGTCGTTTTCCTGTTGCCAATTTAAAGCACCATATATTATGTGGGATGAAGTATGCATCGTGTAGTATAGTTCACAATTCTGATCATTGTGTCTTCTCCTTATTTCTCGAAGTGGATCAACAGTTCTTTTCTATTGAAATTTTAATGAGATTTTATACACATTGATCTTCGTATTCACAATTCAAATTTATTTGCAATGGTAATGGTTTGTATTTTCTATGTAAACAATATTTTGTCACCATACAAAGTCTTTCAATTTTATGAAGAATAAATAAATTATCAGCAACAACTTCAACTTCTTTGTGAAATACAGCTTTATTAAATAATGAAGTAGAGTCACAAGATTTTGAACATTCATAAAACTGTGTAACCATTAATAATAATATAATATACATTTAAAATGCAGTATTTGGTAAAGAAAATGGCAAATACAGTCAAGTTAATAATGAATTCATAGCACTGTAAAACTCAATTTGACATGGTTAATAACATTTAACAGTAGTCACATAATGCAGTAGTGATACATTTTAATTGAACTTGGTAAATATAAATTTGTCAGTATGACCAAAGTAAAGGTAAATTTACCAAAAAAGGATAAATTTAGCCCAAGATAAATTCCCGGTACGACAGGATCATAAATATCTTCACAACAACCTAATTTGAAATTTAAATTGCACCGTTATGATGATGATGACGATGATGATAAGTTAAGTGTAACTTAATCCGACAAAACACTAATTTAGGTGCCTCAACATAATATTTACTACACTGAAGTAAGCAATACAGCAATACGGCATTGTTCCATTAAAAGCTCTGTGTAAATGGCTTTAAAAAAACAGAACGGTACCGTACCTACGTTATTTCACAAAATCAATTCAGCCCAGCTACGGTATGATATGACCATACGCTATGAGATGAGTAATGGTGCAAAGCAAAGCTTCTCAAATTAAGAGTCATTGTCATAAAAGAGAGAGAAATCGTGAAATGGGGATAAGGAGAAAGAGAGAGAGAGAGAGAGAGAGAGAGAGAGAGAGGTGGGGTAAAGAGAGAAGATAAAGACAGACAGACATACAGAGGAATATTGAGGTCAATGAAGGTATGTTCTAACAATGCAGTTTTGTTAGGAGTGCTTGGTTTAAAACATTTCATTGAAAACTTCAGATACACATTTTTTCACGAAAAAAAAGATTAGTAATGTCTTTAATCTTAATCGATAATACATAGAAAAAAGCGAAATCCCTACTTCCTTTTTTGCTGCGTATATCGCTATACAAGAATAACAACGTTTTTTTTTTCTTCGTCAAAATACGTTATTTTGATTAAGTGCTGAAGAATCTCTCTGGTAAAATTAGCACCATTCGTCATGTGTTAAACATTGAAAATATCAAGGCATAGTCAGATTAGCGATTTCTTCTTTATAACTATCAAGGCATATCAATATACTCACTGAGTATATATTTGAGCAGGAATGAATCTGGTAGCATACATGGTTAAAAGTGAGCAAACGTACATTCCAGGTTTGTAAATAAATATTTTACATAAAATGTCAGTTCCATTAAAATGCAATGAATACATGATACATAAATATTAAGTAATCAAATCTATATCGCATAATGATGTGAGATGTATTTAAAGTGAAATATTCATTTCGAAGGTGAATTCCAATGTTCAAAACACATCATGATAACATTTAAGTAGCAAGACATAGTGTATATAATGATAAAGATCTGTTGAAATTGTACATGTTTTCTGAAATATTGCAATAATTCCGTCTAGATTCAGCCTTTGATATGACCAGACCACCGTGAGGGCTCATTTTTGCGGCCGGGAGGTCAGTATAAGTGGAGAGACAAAGTCAAATATCATGCTTAGTTTTTAATTGATTGCTACTGTCACACAAACTAAGCACACCTTGTTTTTTGAAAGATATTATCATAATACACAATATTTCAGAGGTGTTTTTATTTGTAGCGAACACCCCGAAATCTTAAGGGGCGTCCAAAAAAGCGGACCTTTTGACGAAAAATTGTATTTTGGCAATGATATTTCAAGGAAACCTTAGACTACGTTGAGTTTGGTGTCATGTGAAAGATAATTAAATTATCTATATTTTGATAGCAATTTCAGCAGAATTGGGATTGATTAACATCGCAATTTTTAATCAAAGTTAGAGTGGTGTCCTTTTTTGTAACTTACCAAGAATGGTCCTGTGTACCAATAAAATATTTTGTGCAAAAGAGAGGCCTTTATCTCCTTTCAGTGAGAAGTTATAGCGACCAAAAGTTATTTACTTGACTTCCACAATTCACAATTCATTATCTGTGATGTTTCATTTATTCCACACTTATCCCCAAAATACATGCATGTACTGCATTTATCCATCATTTTCTTCGCAATTACGAACTTCTTTGCATTATAATCACTTCTTTTTCTTTTGTTTAATCTTTTGTTTAAATCTCAAACTATTTATGATATGGGAAAGGACTTTTTCCCCAACCGAAATGTATTTGTGATATATCCAACATTTTTTTTAAGGGAAAATATTGTGCATCATAAATTATCTGGAGAAAAAGAATCCCCACGTCCGCTCCGTAATCATGATAGCCCTGTATACAGGGTTTCTGTCCATTTTCTTCACAATTTAATTCATGTCATTATCTGATGGTAAATGCGCATTTGGATTTTCGGAATAAAAAACAATCTTGTTCTCAGCATCCCATCAATTTCTCTTTTCTTGTCTCATTGTAAATGCGCATTTAGATTTTTCTGAATAAAAAACAATATCTTTCTCAGCATCCCATCATTTTCTGAGTGTCCTTCAATTTTCTCTTAAGGTTATAGCAAGTCATGGTGTGCAATCGTGCATCATATTAAGTCTAGATGAAGTAGATATACAGACTATATCCATGTATGTGCCTCGCCCCTTATTGATGGCGTTCTGGACAGCCAGGATAATGCCGCTATCTTGTCAGCAAACTATGTTCGCATCAGCCCCCATCCAAAATGTTATAGTGATGCTATAGAACGATCAAATCCATGAGGTTTTTTCACTTCTTCTTCAGGAGTGAGGAGGTGACACCAAGTGGTTCGCCGTTGGCCCTCCGCTTAGTACCAGGGCCCGGTTTCATAAAACTTGTTATCAATAACAAGTTACAAGCTACTGTTATAAGCTACTGAAATCATGGCATCTGATTGGCTGAAAGCAAATTCGTCATAGAAATTTAGCAGTAGTTATAGATGACAAGTTTAATGAAACAGGCCCCAGGTTCAAAACCAAGTCAATGGAGCATCACAAGTGATCTTGATAAAGGACTTTCGTTATTTACAAAGTCCTTCGGAGGTAGGGTAGAACTGTAAACTGTAAAACCATATAGACCAAGTAGGAGTGATAATAAAGAGAGAAGAGAGAAAGGGATAGAAAGAGAGAGAGAGGGAGAGAGAGAGAGAGAGAGAGAGAGGGGGAAAGCTGGAAAGGGGAAGACAGAGCGAGGATGTAAATGAAAATAAATGCTCTCCATGTGAGAAAGATAGAAAAAGACAGAGATAGTACATTTATTTTAAGTAGACGTTAAGTAGAAGTTAAGGGCTCATTCCAGGCACTCTGTGATTTAACAAAAACATTATTAGTACTGATTGGTGACGATGACGACAATATTGAGGCATCTGACGAAATGTGCACGGTCTAATTTTCCGACACAGGAAAGGCTATAGACCTATATATTCCGTATGGTATATGTATGATCATAGTTCGATATTAAGAGTTTCATTGTGAGTAATCAAAATAATTATGACAGAGAGAATAACAAATAAGAAACTTCCACAACTTAAACCAAGAGAATTTAGCGATTACTCATTGGATTCTCTCAAACTAGATGATATTGAATTCATAAATGATCCGGAAAACATTTAATGCTAGTACAACTTTTCCAATGCGAAAGTAATTTTACAAGCCAGGGAAAAGTAAATGAATTTGATGTAATACACTCTGGATGACAAGGAACCATGCGGTAAACATGCTATATAAATGATTTTTTTTTCCCCAAAAAAATTATTATCATCATGAATATTATTGTTAAGAGTAGGACCTGATCTTTAATTAACAGGTTACTAGTTTTAGCAGATTCAGGAACTGAACAAACCTCAAAGCCACAAATCGACTGTCCTTTAAAAGGAAAACTTTCAAGTCACCCATTTATACCATTCGAACTCTCATAATTCTGAATTATCAAGACTTTAAAGAGATGACATCAGGGGTAATTTCAGTGCCTTGAGCATGACTAGCTTTGCCATTGTGAAGCATGCACTAATATAGACTTAGGTTATTGATATTCTCCTGAGCTTGATTTCTTGAAAGTCTTTGAGATCGCGTTCTGTATGGGTCGGTCTTTTCAAGAACATAATAATACATATATAAAATATTCTATGTATAAATAGTACATAGATAATTCTCAAACTGATACAGTAGTTGTTAACGGCGATGCACCTTGGTAATTGGTATTCTTCTCCGAAACAGATGAGGATCTTTTCCACCAACATGGAGTCGTAAACGAGCCTTCTGACCGACTCTTACTTGGCACCTGCGACCCAGTGTAACCCTCGTCATCACTGGCTTGTGAACGTTCGCTTGCAACAAGAGGTGCATTCTTAATCATCATAGGACCATCCGACTCGACATCTCCATTCGCCATTTGGGATCTACTCCGGTGATCGTCTTCGGCATTGGCTTTGATCGCTTCCACCGCGTTATTCACGTTCACGTTTTCGTTCGACGCGTCGTAATCGCCTTCGTAATGGAGCGGATTTTCGATGAGCGCTGGCGATGATCGTTTTGATGGGCTAGGGTTGATAATATTGACGGCGACGTTGCTCCTGATGCGAGCTGTCAACCTCGGTGAGTTGCCGACGATTTGTGATCGGACAGTGTTGCCTTCGAGGTCCTTGTGGAATCGCTTACCAATGGCTCTAGGGAGAAGCTTGATGAAAGCAGTGCGGAAGTCTTCTCGGAGGATGGAGTAAATGATAGGGTTACAACACGGGTTGATGAAGCCGAACCAGGACGCGGCTGTGTTGATGTAAAATGGGACAGCTTCGTTGTTGATCTTAATAACTTTAATGAGTTTAGTGAGCGAAAACGGAGTGTTACAGAGGACGTAAGCTAAGACCATTACCAAGATAGACCTAATGGCTTTATTAGAATAGAATCCAGGACTTTTTGATTTTATCAACGCACTCTGTTTTAGGGTATTGGTCAACGTGGAACTTTGTCCATTGGCCGAGACCTCACGTTGTATGTAGTTGGATCCATTCAAGTTGCGGCAAACATGTTCAGGCGTTTGTTCTGTTGCATATTCTGGTGTCTGTACTGGGGGTTGTTCAATCTCACCGATACGTCCAACAATGTGTGGCGGTGCGATCCTCTTTGCATGTTCTTTAGCCACTCTGTAAATGCCGACGTAGCAGTAAAACATAACTAGAATCGGCGACATGAAGCACATTACAAAGGCCGAGACGGTGTACGCAAGGATCTTACTGTGGTCGCTCTCCCAGTCGACGGCGCAGATGATCTCGGCGTTATCGAAGATGACCCATCTCATGAGGGGTGGTGCCGCAGCGAAGATGAACCCTACTAACCATGTACACAGGACGAGCACGAAGGCACGACGATGCGTCACCATACCTTGGTATCTGAACGGGTGAACGACATAGATGTGGCGATCCACGCTGATGAGGGCGAGGCTCAGCATGGAGACGATGATGAAACAGTAGTTGAAGAAACATGCGACATCGCACATGAAGTTGCCGAAGATCCAGTGATCAAACCAGACAGACACCAATGAGAAAGGCATGACCAGACTAGCACACCCGAGATCAGTAATAGCCAGGTTTACGATGAATACATTTGCGACCTGTGAATGACATGAAAAGGGTTGATTTAATTCATATTATCATATCGTTAATAACAGTTGTGATACAAAGTTTGGAGAACAAAGTGTGCGACAATAATGCGATACAAGTCCTATGCTTACAATATCATCTACCGAGTGTCATAAATTACTCATTTTTTCTTCTATTTTAGGATAATTAAAGTTTTAATTCCTATAGTTGAAGCAAAGTGGCACATTATCCGTTTATTCTAGGTATCTAGCAAAAACATAGCATTGCTCTTAATTTAACAATAATACTTGATTCTTACGGACCATTTCATCAGAATAGTATGTGTCATCAATTATTTTCTAAATAATTTGTTGAGAGTAACATCTTATTTTCTTATGACAAAAGATACACTGAATTTGAAAAATGGAAATATAGTTTAAAAACAACCTTTGTTCTTTGAAAACCAGAAACATAATATAAAGGACTCTTACGCGTGTCAATGAGATACAATCATTAAGAGCTATATTTAAGCGTTCCTATATAGAGAGGAAGCAAAACTTGTTCATTAAAACGGTGCAGAGTATATTCACTTCTCATCGCAATCAAGCCGTCACCAGTGACCAGTAAGTGAATACCATTGCATAATCATGAAGGGGCATCCGCCTTCTCTTCGTCTCCATGAGGACAACCCAATGTCAGCTCCCTCATTAAAACTGCTCACCATCACCATCCGTTTATCTTATACAGTTATACGACACACCGTACGGTTGAGATGGTAATAAACCGATAATGATGAATGCTCAAGGCGATTCCTCGGGAAAATCTTCTGAGAACCCGTTTCAAAATTGTGATAATCTGTTCTAACTTAGAAGAGCTGACGCCTTTTTGGCTCTCAGCAGGCAAGTTAATGAGTCATTATGGCTACTAATCCTTCGAAATGTTGGGGCGTGATTGTTATTACCCATTTCTAAAGAAGATAAAAAGGAGGAAGGAAGAACTAGCTCAGAGTTAAAAGGGGGAAAACAATCCTTGTAGTTTTTAACCAAGGGTGTCAAACCATTAACAAAGCGCTTGGGGAGGTGAAAATTAAGAAGGAAAGAAAGAGAAACAAATTACGATATTGCTGCATTTATATTTCAATAGAAAGTAAATTAATAAGTGCATTGCCCTCATTTACCATGTATACTTTCCGTCAGTGTTCAACCCACACTTTCATGAGTAGTGATATGGAAATTATTATTGTCCATAATTCAGCACAAAGGCGGCCGGGCACGTTTTCATGTTTTTCGCAAAAGGACACTTTTTATATTTTGCTGCCTAAATATAATATTATGGCACCTCGTTTTCTAAATTGAGGTGCTGGTTTCCGGAACATCGGAATTCTAAAAAAATCTTTGGGGATTGCAGTCTGCATCTCCTATATAATTATGTAGCATGTGAAATTGTGTAAAGGCAGAAAATCAGAGAAGCATGTTGTTGCGAGCTTGATATATTTTGGACAGGTAATAACTCGTCACTGTTTTCACGAAGTGACGGTAGTGAGGAAAATCCGCACACAAAGTGAATGCGATTTTCATTCACTACCGTCACTTCGTGAAAATAGGGAGGAACTATTGTATGAATGTCTGAAAGATAAGATCTATAAATATATTTCTTTTATAGAGTAGTTTGTTACTAAGGTTGGATTTGTCTTTTATAGCCCGTCTGCACTAGTTTGACCAGGGGGATTAGACCTCCCTGCAAGGTCACTGACAGGTGGTTATTTCATCAAAACAGCTCTCAATTTACATAAGAAAAAGGGAATCATGGGGGACCAACAGGCACCGATAAGACATTGTTTGCTATTTAGAGGGCGCAAGTAGCTATAAGTTGTGCAGTGGGGTTGTAAACAAAAATGCTTACTCACCTGTGCTCGAAGTGTCCGAGACCTCGAGATGGCTAAACACACCATGGAGTTGCCGATAATGGCTACACAGATGATAATACATAGGACCCCAGTCAGAAGGATCTCAACCCCGAGAGGCAGGCTCATCTGGTTAAACGTAGGAGGAGTCTATACAGGATATAAAGAAGAGGGAAAAAAGAGAAGATGAAATCATCGTGGTATCTCACTTCTATTATAAAAACAACAATAATATAATATCAACAAATATCATAAGGATTTCGTAACAAATTGAAATAATTTTTGAAATTTGCAGGGTTCCTACTAACGATGTATCAACCCTGCAAATCTCAAATTCTGATTTTTGTTTTCTTCACTCTCTTTAAAAAAAAGGTGTTATAGTGATTTTAATGTGTATGATCTTAATTTAAATAGAGAGTTAAGAAGTTTACATAAATATTAAGCCGAATATCTGAATTTCACTTCTCTTTTTACAAAAGTCAAATATTAATGGAGATTAAATTGATGCTTTTTAATCGAGAATCGAGAAGCTAATAAGCAAAACCAGTAAATTCTTATCGCATGCCAATAACTGATTGGAAAGAGAACAACAGACATGGGAGGATAAAGGAAAACAAAATGAAAGATTATAAGAGAAATAAGGGGAAAAGGACAATTCAGCAAACATGATCTCTTTACTAGCTTTCAGTAGAAGCGAGTGGCGTATCCAACGCAGTCATGAAGCTGGCGACGACCCCCCCCCCCCTTCGAGGGCGGCCCACGTTACACTTCTTCCTTCCGGGATACATTACGTTTCTCCCTTGCTGAAGGGAGCGGTGGTAAACCCCTATTTATCAATTTCAGGATACGCCACTACATGCAACATCAGGTTTTATTATATCTTTTTTGTTATCAAGAGCATCGTCAAATTATAAAACCGTTGCCATTATGATATTATTAAGTCATTGCACATGTTAATTATTCTATAGAATGGGGTAATGAAAGCAGTGCTACTGAATAGTACTTCCTGCCACATGCGTAACAATAGAGCATAATTAAGCATAATCATCTTAATTTGATCATTTGTTCATGCATTATACAATATAATTATTTCCATCGCGGAGACTGATGAATCTTGCCGTTTGGGCTGTTCGGTTTCGACATTCGTCAATAGCCTATTTCTAAGAGTAAAAAAACTAACTGAAAAACTAATCAAATTGCAAATTACACGTGTACTGTATACCACACATGCCTATCGGCCCTGCTTATCATACACCTGTGGCAATATACTTGTGGAGTTTCAGCCTTCGGGAGTGTCGAAGTGCGACAGACATCCGCGCCATATATAAGAACCAACTATTATCATGATTATTATCATTATCATTACTTTATTTGATAAATACCAGAGAGAAATCGCACTGAATTTCACAGAAAAGAACATATCCCATTATTTTCTCTAACTCCGACTTCAGTTGTAGTTTTTTTGGAATGCTATTTTGTTTGGCTATTAAAGGTACTATGTCCCATTTGCAGGCCAAAAAAATGAAAAAGTTAAATTCCAACTGCATTTGAAAGATAATACTAATTTAGAACTTCCCTAAAAAAGGTGGGGCTTGAAAATGTCTTCAAGTGGGAAAATAATGACTATTAGTTGTCAAATCGACTTTAGGGCTATGGAGCCCAAAAGTAATAGTATTGATTTTCAGACAATTGTACCGAATGGTCATACGTTTTATGCTGCGCAAAGATTCAGTCAGTTTAATCTTGGCCATCACAAGAAGTGGGTTATTGATGTAGACAAATGCTCATGTACCCTTTACAACTCTTTTCATGTATGTTATTACCAAAGAAGAAAAAAAGCCAGCCAGTCACTCAATAGTGTCTGACAGTGAAGTCTAGCAAGTAAACGGGTTTCCTTGCATAATTTGAATATGAGGACACTGCTAACGTTTAAATTCCACAGATAGGACATACATGACATATTCATAATTCCTGCAAAGTTCTACAGCATTTGAGGTAAGCTGCAAAAGGTACATAGTACCTTTAAAAAATAAACATACGTGACATCAATATTGGGGACAAAAATATAATTTGAAAAAAATAGTATAATTCTCGGTGCTTGTAAGTAAACAACCAGGGGACCGATGGCGTTAAGTCCTCTCCGAAGGACTTGGTAATAAGGAGTATTGCCTTAACAAAGGGCATAAGCGCGTTTAATTGGTTTCGAACCCATATAGGGAGTAAGAAATCTAAAACAAAATTAGTCAAACAATAACTAAATATCATTTCACCTACATGTATACAGCACCTAGTAGAGAAAGATTTATCGAAGCATCCATATTGTTCCCAAAACACAACGTCAAGGTGTAAACGACCTTCGATTACTTGCCACGATTTATTTGGACAGTTTTGGTAATAACTATCCGGGAATTGCTAACACGAGTGAGTGATATTTGAAGGAAGTCGTATAAGAAGGAGGACACGAGTGTCATCGTCATATGAGGGTGCATCTTCCAAACCTCCCTCATCTTTCTCTTTCTTTCATTCTGTCTTTCTCTCTCCCCCCCCTCTCTCTCTCTCTCTCTCTCTCTCTCTCTTTCTTTCTCTTTCATTCTTTCTCTTTCTTTCATTCCTTCTTTCTCTCTCTCTCTCTGTATATGGAATGGGACAACAAAACCGCGCAATTCAGCATTATTTTCGTTATTGATATAATCATTTTCCCCATCATCATAAAAATTATAATCTTAATCTTAAACATCATCATCATCATCAATCACCACCATCACCACCACACCACCATGCCTACGAACGCTTACTTTTATTGAACAATTTCACAACGGATAAACCATTAAACATCTAACAGTAAAATACACAACTGTTTGCTAACAAGCTGACAAACTGATTGTTTAACAATAAGTGCTACTTTACCTGTGTTTTAAGTGTTTGAATACTATCACCTAAACATGTATGTGTTAGTAGTGCATGTGTGTGGATTTCGGGGACAAAAACATGTTAGTAAACAAACGCTAAAACCAGTTTGAAATTATAAAGTGTGAGTCACAATAAAGTGTTTTACAGACTTTCACAAAAAGATCGCGCCGAAAAAAATCAATTATTATTACAATTAATGTTTTCATTCATCAAGGGGGAAAAACACCTTCCGAGAAGGAAAAAAGGAAAAACAGAAAGAAATATTTCATCTTCATGTTCCAAGACATGAAAAAATGGATTTTCTCTTGCCGCGGCGAAACACCTTTTCTGTTCTGTATAACGTTTACATTTGATACTGGTAGCGATGAGTATTCCAGCTGCCAAAACGTCTTCATACATTCAGCTCTTTCAGCTAGTATATTCCTAACAAAAATAAGCAAAATTCTCCGCAAAGGGGCATCATAAATTTTTGAGCGTTAGTAACGATGGCGGCGGAGTGTTAGATTAAACGTATCGATCCTGTGTCGACAGTAAAATAGAAAATAGAAGAATTGAAATGTTGCCGATAAACCTATAAAATGAGAGATACAAAAATCAACACTTTATATCAATGAAGCACACACGAAATACCTCGTACTGACGCCCCTAATTCCAAGACTTATGTTTAATCCTTTGATGTCAAGATTACCCTTTGAGTGCATTTTGCTGACATCAAGATGTCTCTAATGGCTTTTTGCATGTTCACAAACATAAAGTTTCATCAGGTGGAATAATCAGCTTAAGATTCTTAAGTGAACACGTATATTAAAGTGTATGCCGGGGTGAGGATGTACTTGGTTGTTTGGTTGACAGCCCCCCCCCCCCCCCGCGCCTCTGCCCCGTCGATTTCTACAGTCACCTAGATGGTAAACATTTTTACAAATCTACTAACGTGCATTTTCATTGCAGAAATGAGGACAGACTTCCATTGTAAATCTAAGCTAATATTTACCATTTCATTTACGATTCCTGGGATAATTAAGCTTTACAAAGGAAATTAAAATGAGATGACTGACAAAGCATTCAGTGTATGGAGCGTGGGCACTTTAATACGTTTTCACCATTAATTTCCTGCTTTTGTTGGGAAAAAAATATTTATCTTTAGGTGCAGGATTACAGAAAACATGCCAAACGTTCATCATTATGTTCATTATGTTAAATATTTTCAGACGGTAGAAAGGTTAATTGCTGAAAGACGCAACAAACTAGATAGGCACAATGAAAAATGGCGCTTAATTTCCGGAATTGTAGAAAATAATCCTATTTAAGCAGTTTAGCGGATGATAGGCCGCTGACGGAGATCCTTTTTGCTCTATATAGGGAAGGAGAATTTGACGATCGCTGATGTTTTCTATTCTATATACTATAGATCCATTTGATTTCTTCTTAGATTTATTGTTGTTACATGGATATAAATGTCTGTATATTTGTTGTAAAAATATTATTGGATCAATAAAAACTTATCAAATATTAATAAGTTCGAGAAAGAGGAAAGACAAGTAGAGGTGAAAGTATAAAGACGTGTTCAGATTATCCGAGTCATTTTAATGTATTTTGTATTCATTACAATCAACAATTCAATCTGAACGGTTGAATTGTTGAACGGCAGACTTTCCTTAGTAACGAAAAAGGGATATCAAATGAAAGGGATAACAGAGGTTAAGATCATTTTTAAAAGAATCTTACAAATATAAAGATCTCTCTCTCTCTCTCTCTCTCTCTCTCTCTCTCTCTCTCTCTCTCTCTCTCTCTGAATGAATGAAACAGATCAAAATATGAATTCGGAACCATATCAATAATATTATTGCAGGTAGTAATTCTAGAAGTGATGCGGACATCAAGATAAGAATCGTAATAGCAATCAATACGTTCCTAGTTTTTGAAAGGCATATCAGCAAAGACTGTGAGAACTGATTATGAGAATGAGTTCAGAAATGATCAATATTTTGGTAAAAAGTTGGCAAAGACATGTAAATAATCAAATAATGAAAAGCGTTAAACACTCTTCATTGCGACACTTTAACACTAGAAATCCTGATGGGAATAGTCAAAGAAAAACAATGAATTGTTCCAATCAAGACATCGACGTCAAATAGACCAAGAGAAAAATCAAAGAACAATGTGATTGGCTTAATACACCATAGTTCACAATTATTGGAGGTGATGGCATGTGAAAATAAAAATAATCCACATGAACAATG